GCTCTGGTAGTTGGCCAAGGGGATGGTGGCTCGGGTAGGTGGCCAAGGGGGCTCGGTATAGACGGGGGTGGGTGGAGGGGATGGTGGTCCTCGGGTAGGTGGCTCGGGGGCTCGGTATCGCGGGGGTGGGTGGAGGGATGGTGGCTCGGGTAGGTGGCCTCGGGTAGGCGGCCAAGGGGGCTCGGTATAGGCGGGGGTGGGTGGAGGGGATGGTGTCTCGGGTAGGTGGCTCGGGTAGGTGGCTCGGGTAGGTGGCTCGGTGTGCCTCAGGGTGGCGTGATATAGGCGGGGGGGGTGGGAAGCGCGGGGGGGGTCACCAGTACCCGGCATATTTCATACTACTCACCAAAAAAGAAAAACAGTAACAGACTTGTACATTATTCCGGACGCAAATTTTCTCGGCAGTGTGGTAGGTAGCGCCACCATTCGCCCGAAGGACGGATTTTATATTGTGAATACATTGTTTTCAACATAAAATTTCAAAAATTATATACATTTTTGTCGTTTTTGATACTATTACTTCAAATTTAAAATATTAACCACGTAAGAATTATTTTTAAGTAATCTAATCACAAGGTATCATATACAAACATAATCTTTTTCACTTAATAATTTATCATCACGGGGAATATGTTTGTTCCAAACTTCCAAAAGATTGATTACCTATCCTAAAGTAAAATTAAATTTTTTTATAACTTCAATGTAATTTTTTTTTGATGATTTTAATTTCTATTTATTAATCATTTATCTTTTTTACTATTTTAACTATGTTGCTTTGTAAATATTATGTATAAAATCAACTTAGTTATTTTTATTCCATAGTGCACAGTGTACACTTTTTTTTTAGGTCAGAATTTATCTATTTTATAATATAGAGAATTCAGGATATTTATATTATATAATTATACAATTATATTTACTACGTATTTTAATAGAACAAAATTAGGTTTGCAATTAAGTTATATTTTGATCCGAAATTATAATATATTAAAATTGTATAAATAGTTTACTTTATTAAACACATACAAATATGTATCATTAATAATG